CCGATAATGATATAATTCCTCGTAATTAGAACAAACGAAAGGGCTAGCAGATTGTTGGATGGTGTAGTAAAGGATAGGCGGACGGCAAATGAAAACAAAGGGCAACACGGCAAGTGTTCGTATCGAAGGATGACTTGGAAAGGCGTGTAGCTTGTTCAACATCGAAGACTGAGACGCGAGTACGTACAATGAGAATACGCCGAGCTCAAGGTGACCACCGACTACCTCAGGTTCCAGTCGATGAAAGACTGCAAAGTGTAGATGTTCTCACTGGTTTCTACCAGCAGGAAGATGATGATCATGGGGCAGATGACACTGGATAACGTCGACACCCGTTAGAAGTCGCGAAAATTGTACGACTTTGTCAACTTTTGCAAACGTTGCACAGACAACATGTACATGGTGTTCCTGTCGCAAACAATCAGACTAGAAACTATCTCATTGATAGGATCTACATTGGCTGCCGTTGGGCAGGGTGAGAACGTAGTCAGCCCGTGTTGCACGTCTTAGACAGTCGTGGGAAACAAACCTCCTGAACTCGCTAAACTTAGTTTATTTACATCATTTCCCGTAGGGAAAATACGGTGGCAGACCTTGCGCGTCAAAAAGGAAAAACCGATGCCGAAGTAGAGATCAGAGAGAAAAATACAGGTACCACAGGATTTAAGGACAAGCGCGCAGACCAAATATGAAATGCGAAAATTCGATAACCGTTAAACTTGAATGATAGAAGTTAAGTATTTCTTCGTTATTCGACAATAAACTTCATACGACAGTACACGCGAAAAAGGCACACTACCCATAATCACTACGAAATCAATTTCTATGGTAATCATAAAAAATTGCATGATCGTTGATAACTGTAAAAAATACGTACTGCAGCAACCGTGCGTTATCATAAGACGATACGAACAACGATGCCTATCAGTAGAAGAAGAAAATTTAAAAAAATGTAATAAAAATAACGATAATTACTATATCATTAATACCATTATTATGGTAACACAAAAGATATTAATTGTAATTTGATTATATTGTTGGATCACCACTGCCGACTAACTCTCGCGGCCGATCGGTTCTTGTTGACGACCTTCTGCGGGTTCATCCTGGCAGGTAGTCGATGAAGAAATGCTATTCATTTTGTATGTTCCATGTATGAATTAGCTGATTCCATAACGGGTTAACTGTATGTTAGAATGTGTAATTGGACGACACAGAAGGAACTATTAGAAGCGGACAAAAATCGGCTGGAAGAGATAGAGAGGATAAAGCAATTTATACTGGACAAATTACACACAGAGAACTACCGGGACCACACTCTCGGCAGTTACTTGGATGCTTGTTACTGAATAATAGTTAAATATTGCATCATTGATTCACGATACGCCTTATTATTGTTGCGTGGATATATAAATGAATAACATCAATCAATAAGAACAACAAACGTACATAGCAAAGTACAACTACACAGAAATACTCAGATTTTTAAATGTTTAAAAAAATGAGTTCACCGCACGAAATTGGAACGTTGGCCACAATATCAGAGAGAAGACCCGGCAGGGCCTAGACAAAAATCCTATCTATATCGCTTGATAAACCAAACTATAGTGTATGGCGTGCAGGCAGGCTGAAACGCATTTATGACCCTAAAAAAAAATAAAGACAGCGTTAGCTACGCGTAAAATTTACATTTCTTTGATAAGTCTGGAGACAGGAAAACGCTAAATCGAAAAATTAAAAATTCCATTTCTTTTACAATCACAAGAATGGGTTCTACTTTAGTGGGTTTGGTGGACCCATCGGAAAACGCCACAAAGACGAGTGTTTTTGAAAGTGCGTTATGCTTTTAATTAATTTAAAGCTTTTAATTCTATGGTTTCTTGGCTGTCGACTGCCCGTGCATCTAAAAGCACAACGGGCACTATTTGTACGTTTTGCGTTCTATGTCTATCGAGTTCTCTCTATCATCTATCTGATCGACTCTGATCGACTCATTTATCTGATCGACAGACATTCTACTGAGATGGCAATACAACATCTGTTGCCGAATCAGTATTAGCTTACGTCTTGTGTATTCTGTGTGTAGCTGGTTCGATATCGCTCTCGTCGAAACTGCCGATGAATGCTGTCGGCTCTCGGCACTCCGTCGGGGAGGTGTGGGGTACAAACAATGGCGATGGTGATTCTGAAAGGGGGCGTTACAGCTGACAGAGGTAAAAATGAATGTCGCATTGGGGCGCCGAGCTGACTCGACTCTCTTAATAGAGATACGTACCCAGACTCTTTAATAGTATCAAGACTGACCGGCAATATCTACGCTCGTCCCCACACAGCCAGGGTACAGAGTATATGGGTAGTGAACGGATCCCACCTGAACCTGTCCGTCTGGCAAAACCGTTCGGCCTCTTCTTATCAATCAAGCATTAGGTACGAACAACGCCAGAAGCCAACTCCAATAGTAACAACACAATATGACCGTATTCTATACGTTTACAATAAAATAAGGAAGGGTAACTACGTTAAAGTCGAAACAGTTACTATGGTAGACTTTTAGTCCTGTCTGTCGATCCTTATCATTTGACGTACAATCATTATCCTGTCTTGTACTACGGCTTATCGTTAGACGTCCTGCAGATTTTTCCGTATACTGTTACTAATTCGTTTTCAGACGAACCGATAAATTCTACTATTGCCACAATGTATTCTCTTTTGCTTGTTGTTGTACCTACACACAGTGATTCGTTCACTCAAATACCTTCTCCATCATTTCAATCAGAACGAACATAGTAATTTTTGCTAACGCTTGGCTACGCGTGACACCTTTGCAGAGATATAGAAAACTCAGTCTCGACAGATTTATCACCTGCTATTGGTGCATTGTAGTGTCTGAAGGAAGAACTAGATGGAAATGACAGGTGCCTCACCTACGATCCGCATCTTCACACAGGTTGTTAACAATCATACTTGAATAGATTAAACAGACAGACACCACACCTTGAGAGCAAGTAAAAAAAAAGACGCCAGACCTGAGAACATATGATTGCCGCCTCATTGGATTCCGTGATGATCATGAATAGTGTCGCTGATGCAACAATCCTATCCTGCCTATAATGATCAGCGGAGTTGATCCAGTGACGAAATGATTCGCGACCGGGAGACAGGCAGACACGCGGAGCAGGCACGGGGGTGCAATTGAAAAAAACAGGAACTCTAAAAAAATGTTAGGGAATATTAAAAAACGTAAACATGATTGCTACATTTTACATTTCGACCGGTAGAAAAGTGACTACGCAGACAGGTGCAGTGTCGGAAAAGACATGGGGGTTTGAGCGACTGGAGCCCAATTAGACTGGACGAAGACATAACAACCGTGAGATGATAGGGCGTGCGTACGCAAAGATGGAGAAAACGAAAACCGGGTTGGGTACAGTGTACGCTCTATGGAAAGAATTTTTGTTGGCGGCGCAAACGTTAACGCGTTAAGATGATAGGAACGGCGTGGATTGTAATACGATGGAAAAATAATAAATACATATGGCGATTCAGTTAATAGTAATAGTTAATGTATTGTTGTAGGGGCACGTAAGTAGGTCGGATCCGCAGCACCCATATGCCGGCAGCGGGTCGGAAAGAGATGACGTGAATCGTATAGTAATAATGACGACAATATTAATAACAATGGAAATTATAATAATGTTAACTATAATGACACTTTTGACTATGATGAATGAAGATATACGACATGGAGGCGCAACGATCTCTCGTTAAGAGACAAAGCTGATCTTCGCTGATTCATTGGTCAGTTTGAAAACAAGATACTCTCACAACTCACGTTGTATCCTATGAAGCAAAGCAAACAAAAAAAAAAAACTGTTTCATGATTATTTGTAGAAACCCCGCGACACAGAGCACAGATAGGAAGGCGACTGCTGATGGGCTTTGCCATGGCGGGATAGGTTCTGCGACATGTCTGTGTGTTTGTCTATACACTGTATTAGAGACATTCGTACGTAAACGGACTCAACTGTCGCGTGTGGTTTCGTAAATTTCGACTTTAGTTCCATCGCTTCTATAATAATTCAAATGAGTACCGCGACCACGGGCGCGCCGTGTGGAATAACTATAATAATAAAACTATGTTATTTAGAAGGGCTTAGCAAAATCTTAGATAAGTGTATATATATATATATACATATATATATATATATATATATATATATATATATATATATATATATATATAACAATAAAAAAAATAGAGCTATACACTCAAAGTTAAAAATGTGCGCCGGTGTTTTAATTATCGTAGGTAAAAGAAAGACGAGTAAAAAAGATAATCGTAACAAAAGTAGTAGACCCCGATCCTTACTAAACTTAAATAATAATTGCACAATTACTTTGAAATCATAGATAATTTAATTAGAAACCATGATTCCTATGCACGCCGAAAAAAAACAGCACATCGCGATTGTCTGCAGCACTCTGAGCAAAGTCATTATTAATTAAAGGTTCAGGTATCAACAAAAATCTGCCTACAGCTTTCTATGACATCTGGGGCTTTCTGCTTGTGTCACTTTGTATGTCAACAACGTTCTCAGTCCAGCTTTCCGACGCGTCACCATAACTGAACCCCACATGTAGAATCCGTACTATCTCGACAAATATCCACTTAAATATGAGGGCCGACTCATAAATAGAAATCGGGTTCATAGCGTCTGGAATGTAAGTACAAGATTATTGTAGAACCCGTAGCTACTGTAATCGTTCCTTAGTATATTGACTCAATCAGTAAATTATACTTTATTAAATACGGAGTGGGCTAAAAATTCTTAATGAAATAAACGTATCAAAAACCAGTTACTTCACGATTACAATATAACAGCTTACAGTTAAATATGTTAATTCGTAACATTTGTGTTGTAGCATTGTTTGGTAGCGGGAACAGCTTAGCTCTGTTAAGTATACGATGACCATTTAACAGATACCACAACTTTATTGAAACCACCCAGTTAGTTATCACTGTCACATTTATTATCGCCGAATCACTAAAAAAACTAAATATATTTTTTATATTATTCCTTTAATTTTTATTAAGAAAGTTTTAATGCTGGCAAAAATCGAAAGACGAGGCAATTTATCGGTTTCTTGATACGCTGAGGACAATGTTTGACGTCATTACTTCGATCATCCATCGGATCTGCAATAAGTCTGTATCGCGTGAGAAACTTGGCGAGAGTTACCTCGATTTCCATATGAGCGAAACGCGTTCTGGATACAGTTACATGGCCTCGCACCGAACGGCTGCCAGGCGTTAGTCACCAACGACGGACGGTTTTCCGGGAAAAGGCGCCAGGGCCGGAACGTGTGTGCCTCGCGAAAGTAGTCTTCTGTGTGGCGCAAAGTGTGAACCGAAGTGCTCAGACCCAGACTCCTTGGAATACGAAGATTTCAATTCACGCTTTGCGGATTACAAATCTGAAGAACAGATAATGGGAGGCACCACTGTAGATAATCAAAGAAGATCTATAATGATCAAAAATATACGTCAATAAATTGGTTGGCCCATTTTTTTTAAATACATTGTACTGCAAGGTAAGAGAGTTCAATGTTCATTCAAACAGCGGACTTTTGGTTCACAAATACTATAGCACTGGAAAGACAACGTAATCAGCGTTATATACATGCACATGTACTTATAGATTGGGGTATGTTTGATATGTTAGTTCCCCGCATGTGGGCGGGTTCATCCTAAGCGTCTCCTGAATAACTGCCACCATACACTGGCACCTCTGTAAACATTCGAAATCGAACACTTGACCGTTCGTAGTCAGCTGAATTAGTTCGTCGCGGAAGCGCCCTTGTACGTCCGGAAATCGCAGGAGCTCTTTTGTGATGAAGGCTAAACTGCTGCTGGTCGTCTCGTATCTGAGGATCGAAGACACCTCAATTAACCTTTTCATGCAATAGCAGGTAGCAAGATAAGGATATTGATTACGCATACAAACAGGGATTTTACCGTCGTTACTACTGGTCACCTATTTGCAGGCAATCTAACTTTTCTTCTGAAATAAGATAGATTTGGCCAGAAGGGACGGCCAAGATAATCATTACTCTTCAGGCTCGCGACCGTGTCTGCCAAAACGAAAGAAACACACGCCATTCTAATAGGCCGTAGGTTTAATGCGGTTAGCCTGTAATGCGTTAAAATATTATTTTTTGCAAGTAAGTCCTTTTTTCATATTTTTAGCAATTTTCTGTACCACCGGCAACGAGAGTTTTATATCTCTAATAACGCAGAGTGCTTTAGTGGTTCCACATATTCACTTTAATGTTAATATATCGTTTGTTGTTGGCATCTGTATATGAAGTATTTGGCCGCTAGCAGCAAAAATAAAGAAAAAAAAATTACTGTGTGTGAGATGCGAAAATTTTATTTTCTCTTGTTAGTACTAATTCCGTTATTCGATTTCCGTTATTTATCTTTTTTGCTTTCGTTATTATTATCGCAAAGCATTTTTAATTGTGCGTATATTAGTGAATGTTAAATATTTCGCTCTCTTACAAATCCTGTAAATATGCATGTACGTGCTCAACGTGCACAGCAACTAAAAGAACGTTTCCTTAATCATGATCTGATCTTTTTTTTTTTATCAACAGCATTGTAATAACAGCAATTATTATTATAGGATAGAGCCGTTACTGAATCAACTATGCAGGTAAAAAAACTCCCGATAAAATTAACAGTAAAGTCTGCCCGTTAACTGCGTACGTTTTAAACCATGAGTTGATTAGTTTTACTGGAAATTAGTGAAAAATATATTCAATCCTAAAGTGTTTGTAAGTATGGAAATGGTATCATTTGTTTCATTAGAGCAAAGCCAGTACTCTGGATAATGGTTCATGTCGAATATCTGACTGGTTTAGTGACGGATCTGGACATGCGCAGGACACTATGGTAGCAGTACCATGCAGGAAGGTGTTTCTAGTATTTCTCTATTATATGATCATGATTACTGTAACATTTGAATTAATGATGTTTTCACGATAGACAAAGTGAAAGATGCCCGCCTTGTGAGCCATACGAGTGCTTTATGGTCTCACAACCGTTATATATATATTATAAAATCGGATCAACGGTTGATTTGCCCATACACGCTTTTGAAAACGTGACGACAGCCAGTGCCGAAGCAGCAAGCTCGAAACATTTGAAAGCAGAATTTTTAGATTCCTCAAACCAAGACTCATATTCTAAGTATAATAATTTAGAGATGACCAAGACGTAATCTTCCGCACTTTCTAAGCCTTTTCTTTATATATAGGCATATATATATATATATATATATATATATATATATATATATATATATATATATGTCATTCTCATGCAGCAATAGGCAAAGCAAGGTGGACACTTTTCCTGCAAAACTTACAAAAATACATTTGGCTGTATGTACAAAATTGCTGGTCAGTTCACTGTCTAACGATAACATGATCTACCACCAAGAAAATGTACGGGGAGTATTTGGACGCTTTTAGTAACTTGTTTATTTGTCGTTTGCGTCACCACCGGGCGTTACACTGGAGAAAAAACTTTTTAATTAGGATATTTTCGAACTAAGTGATAAATAGATACTTTATTCTATTATTTCCAATGTGAGAAGGCTTTCTTTCATTGTAACCTGATGATGAAGTAACTTGATGATGATTACATTGAAAGTGGTAAAGGACTTTCAAAGTATACCTCGAAGCAGTCGTGTATCATTAAAAAAAAATACATAACCCGCTTAAATGTGAAAGACAAATTGTATTAATACGTCAGTAAAATCGGTGTTTATGTATCCTAAAATTATTTTTTATTTAATTAAATAATTTTTATTAAATAAAAGATTTTTAAGCGAACATCTATATTGATAGAAGTAGTCAGCTCGCACTCGTATCGTTCATGCCTAATCTCCACAATATTGAGTTAAACAAATTCGTAAAGAAACGAGTTCCGATGGCTGTGAAAACGTGAAGTTGCATATAAATGATTTGATTAATTAGTATTCTGTACTAACCATTTTCGTTGATGGACAATATCTCTGAAGAAAGCAGTACCAAAGAAAGTTGATGAAGACTCATAATCAACAAACAACGGATTCGGTGTGTGCGACAAAAGGTGTTCTTCGATGGTCTGTTAAAACAACTATTTTCCAGTGCTGTTTAGTTCATGGTCATACATAATCATTAGTTTCACACAACAGAGACAATGGAAAAAGAATTCGTTCTATTAGTTCAATGAACTAGTCTTCACTGAGTTCAGAATCGTATTGAATCGTGTTCTTCTTTGCTTCACGCACAACTGTCCCGAACTCGATCAGAGCGTAATTCATAAGGGGTCTCAACATCAATACGGAGAATACAGCAACATACAGACAGTCAACAACATTTCCACTTTGCAAACAACAAACCCTTTCTTTTCTAATACCCTCTCTAACGTTCGTGCAGCCACGAGATGTTTGAATGAAGAAAAACCTCAACCCAAAACGTATACCATGTTTTCTGATCTGGGCAAATCGCGGATTAGGTCTTCTGCTCTTATCAGAATCTGAGCGGCGAATTTTTTGTGCGGACTTCATCATCCATGTAAGCTAGATCTAACATGTCGGCTAAGGTGAAGCGGTAACGAATGACCGGAAAGCTTAGAGCTATTGTTGTCTAGTTCACTAGCGCTGACGGAATAACCTACAATTCGTACGCTGATTTACTGTTCCGGCGGGTTTAAAAGAATAACTTAAACGAAGGTGCCATTCCACATCGACGGTAAGTGCGTCTTTCCCAACCCAAAGTCTACTTTCTATGGGGACACCTAGTTAGGGGTTGCACCACATGTGAAGCAAAAAAAAATACAACATTTTTAATGTTGTATTTTTTTGTTATTTGTGAATAACTGTTTTCGTAGATTTTCTGTATTCGTTGTTATGCAAATTTGTCGTCCAGGTTTCGTAACGATTGCTCTATCAAGGGCAACTTAGTTTGAAATTAACAGAAATTCACGGTATGCAGCTAGATTGCAGTATGGGTCCACCTGAACGAGCGCTTGTCGCATTGTTAGGCAGTAGATAATCTAATTCGGTGCAAACGTATAATATAATAAAAATAAGAGTTGAAAAAAGTCATGTAAAAGTTCGGAAACGGCCAAGTGACGTGCTTTGAAACTCTTAGGAGATTTTTGCTCCATCTTGTGTATATATATATATATATATATATATCTATCTCTGTATGTGAGCTTTGAATTTAACGACTCTACGTAGTCCGCAAGAAGGATAAGGAAGGCATTATCGACAATTTCTGTCTTCGAGAGCTTCAATTATTGAACAGGTAACTGGGTCGCGACTTTGCTCAATTTCGTGAATCAACTCTGGGTCTCTCGGTACTGCGCAAACGTCATCACCATCCGTTACAGTTAGACTATGGACATTCGCCTCTTTGGTGACCTGAGCGTCGATCATGAGTTGCACAAGGTCTGCACGATAATTCTATATCAATGGGACAAAAAAGACAAAACAATGGCAGCCTATCGACTTCGACAGACTAATGTTATCAACTAAGTCGTCCTTGCTTAGTTTCTTATACAAATTGCGCGCAACTTCTGTAACTTATCCGCGACGCTAGTTCGGCTACATCGAAATCAACAAAATATAAATGTCTTTCGATTACCCTGATTTATATTATTTTTATATTTAGTATCTATTAGTATATCCAGGTTTATTATAAGCGGCAACATAAGCACTCTAGACAACATCATCATCTCGTCGAAACTATACAATTGTACTTTATGATTATTGGTATAAAATAGGCGAAAGAATGTGTTTAATTTTGATTCAGCTTCAAATTTTCTGACATTTCATTTAGTTTCAGGATGTCACACTTTTTCCTATAACCCTGACGTTTTAAAGCAAGCCTTTTGAATTATTATGCACAAACATTTAAGTCGTTCCTCCCAATGTGGCAAGGTCCCGCTACTCGAATGGCTTCGGAGCCAACAACGGCAACGAATGGATTCCTAGGTCAGTGTGAGTGTCGTCCTCGAACAGGAAAGCCTCATCGATATATATTGGCCACACAAGAGACTTACGCGCGGTATAAAAGGCGCTAAAGTTACCCCTGGTAAGAATTCATACTGAAAAGATGTGCTGCCCATAGCGACCGATCGATGATTTTGATTCTGTAGTCGGTATTCGTAATTAAGTAATATCACGAGAAAATAGGCACCATGACCTTAATTTATCATAAGTGACATAAGCATGTACAGTTGCAGTATAGTTAGCCGGTATTAAGCCACATACTGCAAAATGCAAATGTGGTACAAAGCTAGTGTTTTGTCATGTAGTTACCTAACCTGACCCGAACCAGTATATCTCCACTAAGAAACTTTTATACTAGTGTAGTTGACAACGGTAACGGTGACAGCGCATGTATAGGCTCTCTGAAACTATAAAAATAATAACAGATTTTTCAACACGTGTTTATAAAACCTGTTAAACAATTTGTGTGTTGTAGCTGCCTTGGATATCTTATAAAACGCGTATCTTTGCTCTTGCACTAGCGTTGGCTCGTCGAGCGGCCACGATACGTTTGTACTCCGTGCGAAGTGCTGCAAACAGGATTGACGGCAGCGTTCTGACGCCTTAAGCTGACTCCTATCGCCAGCCAGCGCATAATTGATGCAAGTGGTCCCAGAAAGACGAAAGAAGTTACTAAGTATTTCAAAATAGAAAACGTTAGTTTTCTATTGGAGTAAATTTTGTTCGACTTACTTTCTTTGAGTTACAGGTCTCCTTTAGCCGTATCTAGCTGATCAAACAGCTACTCGTCAAAGACAAGCGTTCGATTTGCGAACTCTAGTAGTGCTCAGTAATGCCATTTTACACTATTTATGCTGCCTTTCAAGGGCCTACCTATTTTTTTCAATCAACAATTTATGCAGTTAGTTGCAACAGGCGCAATAATAAAGTGCCTGCTACAAAAGAACTGCAAACAACAGATAAAAAAGGAACTGAAGAAAAACTGACAGCATGTAACGCATCTTTAGGTAAGTGTTAATAGCGTCCAGTTATTGTGCAAAGATTAAAAAACTATATTGGATCGGACATGGTACGAACACAGAAGAAGCCTAATTGTGGTATGCTGTTCCTTAATCAGGACTTTAGATTAAAGCAAAATCGGATGATTGCAGATTGGATCCATTGTCAAAGCCTGTAATAAAGGATTTACCTATATTAGGAAGGGTTCTACTGAATTATCAGTTTATTGCACGGGCACTATCGTGTTTGCCGTAGCAGTGCCTCAAATGGTTCTAAAGAACGTAACTTTGACAGAAAAGAAGCCAAATAGATAAGCATGATTCCATACATGTATGAAGTAATTGAAATTCTAATAAGCGTTTAGAATGTTTGCTATACGTACTTTAGTCTAACGAAGGAAAAATCCATTGCCCCTTGGATGAACACACTATTAAAGGCACGGTTTGTTATATTTAGTTGGCTCCTCAAGTTGCTGGCACAGGATGAAACAAAATTGTATTTTTGGAAAATGATATAAACAGGCAAAGACACAGTAGCTATGAAAATCGTCAAGGGATCTAAGGAGAAGTGACGAATTCATAAGAGTAGCATGGATAAATAATATAATACGTTAAAACTTGCATGGATATATATGCGATCTAAATTATAAACCTAAGGAATACAGGAAATATATGGAATCCTTTTCCTTTTGACACGGTTGAAGCTGCCAAAAAGACAACCTAGCCTTTCACATATGGCATATCATTATTGTGTGATACGTATGTTGTTATGTTTAGACATTATTGCAACAGTTTTGAGTTCGTTGGAGGTGAATGAAGGCGTCAGCTTGGACCTGACACGTTTCCAACGCTGTCGTTTTAGAACGTCAAAGGCGTCAAAAAAGGTCAAAGCGTCGTCATGAATACCACTTTCGGCACCCGTTATTCAGCTCTGCAATATACGAACGCAATTATAATATACACACATACAAATGTATTGATCTTTTACAGCGTATTTCCGATTAGCACAATTCAAATTTGACCTATTTTAAGACGACGTATATCATGCAGATACGAGAAAAATAAACATCTGATCTAATTGTCGTTCCTCAAAAACAAGCCATTTGACACACCGGGCGATCTGTGAAATCGATGAAGTCCTTAATTTCTATCTGTCTCACCATTTGTGCATCAGCTACTGCGAAGGCGGAAATGTTGCCTATAAAGTAGCCTAGAACAGGTCCATGCTCCTGGTGCCATTTTGCTTGTGCTGCAATTTAAAAATATCAATCGAATTTCCGAACCATATCGATATAGGAGGCCCTTTTATCCCAAGCTCTTTGAAATAGCGGTAATGGTTGCATCGTGTTCTGCGGCGTGTAAATGTAATTTTGATTAGAACACATGTCAATGTGGGTTAGACGAAATGAGGTTACATAATATCCTTATATACCATATATAATATATATAGTATATAAGGATATGTAAAAAAATATATGAGAAATAAAGCTCCAATCACTTAGATCACGACTGTAAAAGGGAGGATTGGACCCCAATGACGGTTGGTTTTACTATAGCGACGTGTGTTTAAAGCTAACCAGCGCTTATTCCCCCCGAGTGAGGTAACGTATGAAATGGCAATAACTCGAACTTTAGAAAAAGACGCTTTGTTACTAGAAAATTAATTTATTTAGATCAGGGGTGTCCAGTGCTTAATCAATGCGCGTTTACTGTTGAAGACGTTACTGCTCGACAGCGGACTTCAGTGATCACTAACTCAAAATCATTGATTATAAAAAATGGCGAAACGAACGGTAAGCGATTTGGTGAGATGTGTTTAAAACCGTGAGTAGATAAAAAAAAAAAACATTGAAGGTACTTAACCAAACTTAACCGAAATTTCAGGTTATAAATATAAATTTCCTCTACATAGCAAATAAGAGCACAACTATTCATCAAAATAACACAATTCATTATTTCAATTATACGAAGAAGTTGTACTGCGAGGGCATTATCTGCTTCCAGTGTATCGCAACCTTTACAAAGTCTTCATTTCACGATTCTGAGGGTAAGTCGTACACAAATAGAAATAAGTTTATTATTTTGGGAAGTACTTTTAAACATGGCTCCCAAGCCGGAAACGGATAAATGTGATGGTAAGTCGTTGCTTTTCACGACATTTTTTTTGCTGGAAAAAGCTTTTCACTGATTGAGGTTCATTGACTATGACTTCTACAAACACTTCTACCAAAAATTAAAATCGCAGATTCATTACTGCCATGATGAGATTTCTAATGCGAAATTTCACTAATGGGTTCAGTTCCCAATCTAAAATTTCTTTAGTTGCAAAGCAAGTTGTTTCGAATCGGTAACACGAAGGTATTCGAGAATTAACGTTTGATCCTCAAACATAGTACTGAAGAATCACACCCTAGTTATACAAATAACTTATTACCTTTGCAGTTACTCTTAAAGAGCCGATTTCGGCTAATGATCGCTAATTGTGTCCACTTGATGCAGCGAAGGTCGTTAGAGACAAACTATGAGCCTTTTCAGTTCTCTGTTTCAGTTCACGAGATACTATCTTCAATATAGGTTATCGTATTTATGATAATTGCTTTTATATATATACATATATATATATATATATATATATATATATATATATATAGCATTTTAGAGTCACATGCAGGTGCCCCTGAGAATAACCACCGTCGTTGTTTACATAAAAGATCCACAGTATCATAACTGACTAGCTTCATATTTGATATATCCGAAAGTAACTTTCTGTTAATGCCTGCCTCTTTGTCACTGCGCATATATATATACCTTTCCAGGTCCATCCAAGAGAAAGCTACTTCCAAAAAATGTCTACGTAACTCACTACCCACCTGTGTTGTATATAAAGATATACCACAAAAAATGCCACTCCCCGCTCGAGCCGCATCTTGATCACGTAATCTTGATAGCCCCACGATCTTGGCTGGCTCCTTCTACAACAGACTGAAAAAGTTTACGTCTTACTATGAATTATTTTCCTTTTGGGGCAACATTACTTTTTTTTTTTACTACGAATGACAGTATTCGAAACATCGATACATGCTAAACATCATAGCGGGTTTGTTCCTGCCTTAATTAAACATTGTAGCTCCTTAATGACGACTGACTCTAGGCAGACACGGTGGCACTTGCTTTCCCACCTAGAGGAAAATGTTTTTTGGCTTACGTAAGACGCTGAGATTTACTATTGATCCTTGATTTACTATTGAACCACGCTGCGACGAATCAATCAATCATTGACGTGTTTCTTAACAAATGATATAATCGTCTTAAACGGCTTCACGTGGTACCCGCCGCCCGAATATCAAGCAATAATCGAAGCAATGGCGGAAAGCAGCGCCTGAACGGAATGATAATTCTTGCAGGTAGGACTGTTGACAGGTCTCTAAGTGTTAGAAACAGCGAATTTGACAATGACTTAACTCTTTTTTTTATCTGTTGTAACATTTAAAAGGTTTTTACAACTCCTGTCTTATAGTTCCATAGCTAATGAGTTATGGGGATTTATTGATTCATTGATAAATTTAAAAGTATATATTATAAAAAAAACATTGAATAGGACGCATATATACAATATTTCCCATGGAGCTATATCTCAGTCATAGCCACTGGCAACATACCTGTCTAATTCTCTTATTAGAGATCTTATTTTGGATGAATGTAGAGAATATTTGGAGAATACTTGGTTAGGCGGAGTAAATTGCTTATTTTATAAGAGCGTAAAAACTACATAACAAAAAACGGAAATTTTACTTTGATTTCTAATGTTGGACCAAAAACATTTTTAAGCGCTTATAATTTCTTCCTCAGGAACTTCCTGATTTTTTCAAAGTATCTCAACAATCCAAAAATACGTATTAATGTCGGTGAATTCTGTCCTTGCTTTATACAATTACTGCAACTATTTTTCCATTCTTGTACTTGAAACTTCGTGACTTTCCATTCTTGAAATGTTTTTTAATTACGCAAACACCTTTCAGAGTTCATCCTATAAACACGCTTAATATTCAGCCATTAATGAGAACCATTCAATTAGGACAAATATCTTTAAAAGTTGCTTTTAATTGCTCAAGTTAACTACAATAAGTTAATTACAACTATAATAATAATAGCGTACATCAAAGCGATAGATTTTGATACATTTCGAAAAAAATAAGTACAGAGTTTATCAACACATCATGAAAAATCAATAATGTAAGCTTTTATTCCATTCATCCGAATTCTCCGAAATAAACCCAAGCGTTCTAAAAAAATATATTTTAATGAAAAATACTAACGGTCTGAGTCAATTCTATCGAGAGCTCTCATCGTCCACTTCAAGCTTCGCCACCAACAATAAAATGACATGCAATACCAGCGATTCTTATAACGCTTATAGCAAGTTCTGAAAAACGCTGGTGGTCGAAACGAACGGGCAAAGTTCAGATATTTAATAAAATAATCCAAGATAAAGTTATGACTAAGAACTTAGCTAGAGGATACATTATTTGCTTGTTTGCATCACCTTGCAACTAATGGATGCACAATAAACAGAACCAATCTACAGTCGAAAGTCAGACGATTCGGGTTAGATTATTTTTAGGCTGTCTGATTGATGTATTTTGCTAACGGACCTAATATTAATGATCTGTCAAAATCAACCATATTTAGCAGAATCTATAAGCCTTAATGATGACAAGCCAATGTAGACTCGCTTCGTGGGAATGCTTCATTTTTCATCCTTAGGGAAGGCCTTTTTACGCCATTACAAATTATTACCAGGACGAATAAGGCGTGCCAATAAGCTCACCTGAGTTCTACCATTCCGTTCGGAGTCTACTTCATTATAAACGGGTTCTTGGTTGTTTCTTTTACCCAAAGGCTTACATTCGACTCCCCCTCCCTATAATGCCTTATTGTTGTAGTATTATTACAAACGAGTGTCAGAAACTCAAAATTTTTCAATGGAAACACAAATTCGTCCAACGGATACACTTGAAAGTTTTAATAATATTCTTGTCTCTATGCAGGGTAATGTCTGCCATTTAGATTTTACGATAGAAGTGTATATGTGGTTAATGCTTACAGGAGCAGCGTTGCCAACGCTTCATCTGTCTCGTTCGCATCTGCTGAAATATATTGTTAAATATAAAAAATTGAGTTTTCTGTGGCCTACGTGGAGCTTTTAGCCTCGGAACGAAACTTAAGGTTTTCCGAGTAGCCAATCGCGAAATATCAGGCTTGGGATTACTGTCCCCGGCTCACGCAGCCTTCTCGTGCGCCTCGAAATTTGGGACCCACATAGTAGTTTTAGGCAGTAGTAGTAAAAACTAGGGGTGCATCGCTTAATGAGGATCATTCCGAAATAGAAAGGCACTTGCCGTCGAAAATCAATTCCCACTCGTATACGCAAGGTGAACTATATCCCCTGCGTGAAGTGTCTGCAGAAACGCACTTCACTAAACGAAACAGAATAATTATTCTTAGTAGTGAAGTTCACGCTGTCAAACTAAGCAGCACGCTATAAATTATAGGTTAAGATCAATAATATTGTCACGAGTACAACCATCAACAATAACTAAGTCAGCATCGGTATTTTATAAAGAGCAAGACGACTTTAAACGGACACTATATTCAATTATATATTTATTGTAAATAACCCCAAATGACAAAAGAACTTCAGCAAATGTTCACAGCACAATTTGGTATAACATGTAACACCAACTTCTGAGAAATAAAACAAAAAAAAACAAAGTTACCGAATAGGTTTTCGCTTACTAGCTCTATCCGGAGCTCAGAAACGTCACCGAAAACCAACCACGCGTATATATATATATATATATATATATATATATATATATATAATATATATATATATATATTATACATACACACAAAATACCTAATTATTACGACATGAAAAATTTATTCATCGTTATTCCATTGTTTCTTTGAAAATGCTTCGGATGAATTACACCGCTAGTCCCCTAAGACCAACATATTTGATTTACGTGTCTTAATCGTTTCCAGTGGCGGCCTAAAGCCAATTTGGATATGTTTACATAATATTCTACTTTTTGAATAGTTTGTCGTTGTCTAGCTCTCAGCTTCTTACTTTGAAGTCGTCTCATTTGAATGGTTAACGAAGTAGCGGTTCCTGAAGCGACTCACTAGTTCCATAATCGAAAGATGTGTTTCATACAACGAGCGCGATGAGCATTCGATGTCTTAGACGAAGTAAAGACAATTGCGGAGCCGTGTATCAACACATCCGGCCCGCCTCCTTAGCTCAGAGAGATCATTAGCATCTCTAACTGTATCATCCTCAAATCCTGATGAACGGTTTGAAGATGAACAGCGTGAGCTACTCCTAACGGCTTTTAGGTGGTCCTTAGCTCGAGAGGCAGCGAGGTGCGCGTAATACACTGGTGCAGGAATGGAAACCGAACGCGAGCATCTGCCATATACATGACAAAGGTTGTAAGAGATCGCCTGTAACTCATCAGCTGATAGGTTGGCATCGTCATGAATCACTTGATAGTGTGCAGGCTTTGAAGTGCTTTGTACACCCGCATGAGAGCAGAGGAAGTAGTCTAAGTTTGTTGGGTGCGTTACAGTTTCTTCGATAACGGTCCCCGGCGGGATGTTCCTGTGATAGCCATGTCCGTCGCCTAGGTTTTCGGGCTTGAAACGTACTTGGTGTCGCTTTTGCACAACAAGGAAAGTTAACGGAGGCTCGTAATCTTCCTCTAACTCTTTACACGCTAAGCGGACTTGGAGAACCTCGAATGCTCGAACCGCCTCGAACTGGCAATCGGATATTCCATCCCTGAAAAAAAACAGGTGCATCGGTTTAGCGTTGTTCTTTCGGTAAAAAGCCCACATACAGTCTTTGACCATGTCCTTCAGCGCGGCTACGTATTCCAGACGATTGCATGTTTTACTCCGTTGGAAGGTAGTCACTGTGTGATACTGCGAAGGGACTGGGTCCAGGCTACCGACCAATGCGGCGATCGAGGGTTGATCCTTGTTCTGTGGCCCCGGATGGGAGACGTCCGCACCAAACACAATGTACGGCCGACGCATTGACGGTGGCACAAACAAATCCTGTAGAGCGTGGTTGATTCCGCCCAACTTCGAGTTGATCTTCATGAGGATATTGATGCAAAAATTTTGATCGTGCTTACGGCTGTCAACATTTTGCCCCCGGACGCATTGCGTCATCATTAGTAGTCTGCGATCTGTCTCACTACACTGCTTAATTTGCTCGTACTGGGTGGTTTTACCGAGAATCACAACAGTGAGCTGGGTCAAGGGGAATTTCGCCTTGATGTCTGAGAGCATCTCACTATCCGTATCCCGGCCTCTGTAGTCATTGATGAATGTTGGTGGTGAAATACGCATGCCGAGCTTCGCGCCGAGTTTTTGCAAATTCTGGGAAAATTCCCGCACTCGACGGCTACCGAAACAATCAGCGATGCCCCAGTATTGTATTTCGACAGGAACAAAAAACCTGTTTGTTCTCCAGTAACCTTCTTTAGGAATAACCGGCTTTGGCGTGCCAGCATTTAGATGAGGCGGAGCTAGTACTCGACCCTTCACCTTTGTCGGAGTCAGCTCGATTTTAAGTCCGAACTCACGAAGCTGTGGATGTGCGCTCTGCGTAACGATTTCCTGTACGAACGTGTCCACACTACGGAATCGATCAGCCGGTGGAAGAGCAGTCTTGCGAATCAGCGCAGCTGTTTGATCTGGCTCAACGACTTTGGCGTGCTGACCTTGAATAGTTCGACATATTTCCATAGGTAAATAACTACGCTGTTCGTTTTTTCCTGGGGTAAGTATACATTGTAAACCTGGATATTGTAGTTGTAGCTTGTACTGCTTAGCAAAATAATCTACCACGCTGATCTGATGTCCGTCAACGTCGAAGAAACATTTGTACGCGGGTTGCTTCGACACGCCACACACTTTGTACCGCCGTCGATACGGTAAATGAGTTACCTGCCAGCAACAATTTTTCCTTAGCAAACTAAGAACACTTGTAGCTATGCATCATTAAAAATAACTCTAGCATACGATTAACTGATCTCTGGCCTGATCCGCAAGTAATGAGTGTAAATTTTATCAGATGATTATGATGAACTTCGCTTATGGAGTGACTAAAGGTAGTTGAGTAAGCCTTTGTTTCCCCAGTAATTGTCAAGCCCCGCAACGGACTTTAAGCGATCACTCCCCACAACCCTGCACTTCTTGACTACAATTATCTTGTCATGTAGACGCTGTTCGATTTCGGGTTTATCGTTTAGAGTAACGTAAACATAGTTGATTAGCGTTTTCATATAGAATATTTCTAAATAATAATGCTAGTAATAAAGGATCGAGGAATTTTATCTGAGCCCGATTGACGATACACATAAGCGTTACACATTTCGCCATTGAGCAATCTAACCAAGTTATCCATCGACCAACGCCAGCATCAGATTGAAGCTCACCTCTATCTTAACGGCCTGCAGTTCCTTCTCGACCTTTTTACGTTCACTATCCAGCAGACCGTTATTGAGCATAGACACGTTTTTCTTGAGGAACTTCGCTGTGTATTCGACCAGCGACAGACTCTCATGAAATAAAGTGGCCGATATGTTTACATTCAGCATCGGTTTCCATTGGCCAGGTCGAATCGAACAATAATAGCCATACCACAGCTCACGACATCCGCCGACAGATATATCGCTGCTATTATTTTGCCGCGTAAAAAATGATCGCCCTACGGCCACGTTAGTTGGACACAGCAGAGGGCCAGTACGAACCATGATATCCAGAGCTTGAATTACGTCAGGACGCAAGTTATTCATAGGTATGCGAGCAACTAGCTTAAGGACCACGTCGAATGAGGCAGTGCGGGCAAACTCGTCTTGATCGCTTTCCGGATCTAGATGAATGGTAACCGTTGTCTGGAGAATTTGTTCTTCTCTCGCGATCTGCTTTGTTAAATACAAATTCTTCCGACCATCAAACGCCGGTACGCATCCAGCTAGCACGGGTTGGCGTGCCAGCTCACGGATCACTTGGTGGTTCAGTGTTGTTGACGGAGCCCGATATTTCTTCACTAGCGGTATGAGCATTGCTTGCTGAGCACTCGGATTGCAGCCATGGTACGTGATACACACATCATAATGAAATACCTCCTGAACGGAAACTGAAATCCCGTAGAGATTTGAAATCAGTTGAATCGGTTGCCCTCGAGTACCGATCGAAGTGTGCCTAGGCGCATCACCCACTGCAAACAGTTTCAGCAGCTTGCTAAGTTCGTCTACATCACACATATCTGTGCGGCTGATTGGTGGCTTGATGACGAGCCGATACTTTCAAGTAGCCTGCCGAATTTCGTTTGCCAAAAAACAGTCCTCATACGAGCGTTTCCGAACAAGATCGTGAACAGCACTTCGTTTTACCAGGATAACTGGTTGTGGTGTAACGTTAACAATTGATTCAATAAGACCACTAATGCCTAATCAACCTTTAGGTTGCTTATAAATTGTCAAAGATTGAGAAAAGTGAGGACGAAGAAAATGCGTATGCGTCACGTAAATCTGCTGCTTGCTGTTTCAGATCAACAGAAATTACGCCTGCGGCTTCCGTCAGTCATATTGGACCAAATACATTGTTAAAGTCGTGTCACTGTGGTATTTGTGCGTTCCTATAATTAAACAAAAGGTCCAAAGAAAACTTCATCTTCTACACAGATGGCCATTCAGCTACGGGCTATGAGCACATATCACCTCGATTTTAAAAAACGGATGCGTCCCTTCTTGCCACCTTTAAAAAACAGCCTTTTATTAATTATAAACTGGAATAAAACGACATAGTAATAAATAAGAAAGGTGGCCTTGTAATACAGATGAACTACACACACCGATATTATATGATATTTTTCAAAGACCACGAAAAAATCTCCCATATGGCTGTCCTTAGATTGCAAATGGCTGTGCTGACTATACCATTCTCAGTGTCGGCAGAAACGAAATCAGATTACCGCTAAAAGTAAGCTAACACTATTAGTTTTGTCATAATTCTCCGTAGCTAAATTTAAAACAGTTTCATTGATCATTCCCTGCGTGTGCTGTTATTCAGACGGCAAGGACATAGCCAATCCGAACCGACAAAAAATGCGTTTTTTGTAGTTGTAATAAAAAGAAATTTTCTAGTTGTGCCAGTAATTGAATCGTAGTTTCGTTGGTCATGCCCAACGTAATTCTAACTATGATAATCTTATTATGGTTATAACTTGGCTGGCTTTCTCATCTTGTATCGTTTCTATTCGAAAGGTAGGTCACCTTGAGGTTGCATTTTTAGATCTATACGAACTTGAAGAGATTTACTCGCTTAAGCTATAGGTTATGCTTTGCTGAACGGAAATATTTGTGAGACTAGACTAAGTTATAAGCGAGCAGGCTTAAAGGCTGCTGGGAACAGAACGGTGGAGGAATGAGTTCTACGGTTCGCAACCTATAAATTCACCGCATAGTATAACTTGCCATAACTTCATTGGCGACACTGTCTGTGTCATATCTGGTTAATCAGTGAATCACGCTTACCGTTATTGAACGTCAGCGACTGTTATCAGTTATGTCCGGATTTTACTGTGTTCTTGAGCGCCTGACCTTGGCTTGTATAATGCAAATGCAATTGTTTAATATCTACACACTGGGTTGTTGGTAACGGCTAAGTTGAAATGTTTCAAGCTTGACGTCCGTTTCAGTTGTCATTGCGTCAGGTACGGTACGAACCAGACATGAGTTTTTAAGCATACATTCAACACTACTCTCTGCACCGTCATGGGAACTAGATTTATCAACCGTGTAGTGGCTCATAGGTCTTACGCTGAAATTTTGAGTAAGTATATTACTATAAATATGTCAAAGTCAACAAAATGTTATCGATCTAAAGCGCCATAACGGCAACATTAATATTACTAATCCGGTCGATTCGAATACAGTAACATAAACAATATGCATTACGGGTGACGTGTTGGCCATAGATATTTTTGTCGTTGAAAACGTAAAGCGTTTTTTGCGCAGAGTAAGTATTTAAGTATAATAATCGTAGTCCTAAATAGAATGTTATCGGTATGGTGCTTGGACGCCTTTCTTAGTTAAAGTTTGTGTTACGCGCGAAAACTTTGGTTGGTAAAAGTTTTCTTTTGTTTGGTAAAACTTATCAAGGCATCACATCAGGATTAATAGTATACTATGTGCACCAGTAATTTCATACAAACCTTTTAGGCGAATTGTTCCTTTATATTTCACTCGATTATCAGAAAATCGACAACTTTAACTTTCTATTTAAGAGCATTGATAATCGACAACTTTAACTTTCTATTTAAGAGCATTATCTTAGACAGCTGCGCTATATGGTCGTAATCGAGAGCCGCTTTATGGTACTAGAAAACATTTTTTTGGACTACACCGAATGCGCAATCCGTCCTTTTCCCTGGATTCGTACTACTGATTCCATCCAATACACCGGGCAACAGATGACAAAATAACGCATCTGTCAAAAAGCTCACAAAGACAGCTGAACAATTTTGCCTTTATGACAAATTTAAAGAGCTGTTCTCACTAGATGCATTGCTTTTTCATTTGAATATATCGACGATCCTTTTCCGGCTAACGGAAGGGGTTGTGATAAGCATCTCTTTGATCTGCCTTATAACTTACCGGCCGTTGGGGAACTTCTCCCAGCAGCTTCGTCGTGAGAAGGCCAGGCTCCCCTAATAGTTCAAAAGCCAAAGACAGAACTTGCAAATTCCACAGCATTTGGCCTAAGCATGCTTTGGTCCAATCTCGATACAACGTATCGGGCCGGAAAGGATGCTAAAAGACGTTTAATTGCTAACCGTTGTGGCGTAAGAGTACCGTTAATTAATGTACGATGTGTGTGTCGAACTGCGCTGCTCGGTGCACTAAAGATATATTTAATTGTTAATTATACATTTATTAATTTTTTTACTCTCCGTCACATAGTAGAAAATGAATTACTAGAGCGGGTCGTACGTCTAATACGTGTAAAGCAATTTGCACCTTAGATCTGTTTAGTTATAAGTTTCTTGCTCGTAAAACCTTGACTTGTCTTACCAACATGCATTTTTAAAGGCTTTATAGTGGGCTGTACAGGGGCACCGCTCGGCATCTGCCCCACTTTTTTCCGTTACGAGAATTAACGCGTCAAACAGAAACAATCATAACCCTGTACTATATGTTGTGAAGACGTCAAGACGTGCTAGGCTTTTTTAAAACTAGCATCATTAGTCTCGCAAAGTTTTTTCTAAGGATATTGACGCTTCCGCCAGAATTTGGGTATAGGCGAAGGCTAGCTTGACAAACCGGGAGAAACCAAAGCGAAAACGATACATAGCGGTGCTTACCATCGAGACAAGCGCGAGCGTATGGCAACTCTTTCGCCTTTGCACGAGTTGCACGCATTGCTTGATTTACGTAGCCAGGCAACGATGCACGTATATCGCGTCTATCGCGTATATACAACGTCGCGTGCTCTATATCTATCAGAACCATATGCGTGGTACGTAGTCGCATCTAACATTCGTAGTGCTAAACAAGATGCATGTAGGCACATGGTGACGGAGCTTTATTAGAGCCAGCCACGCATGCCAAGCAGTTTCCGGTTAAATCATTTATATACTGAACCCGTTCGTTGTATATGAACTATAAAAGAAAATGGCGGGCTGTCTTGGCCTGTGATTTCAGTAACCCCAAATACTGCTGCGATCTTGTTAACTTGTCAGATCTGCGGCTTGTCCAACTAAATACGCCGCCTCTACGAAATTGCACAGCTGTAGATAATCGATTGCTGCGCAAGGGTTCCGCGTATTCAACTTTAGCAAAGAAGTCCTAAGTTTTCGGCGAGCAGTAAAGCCTGTATATTTTGTCCTCCATAATGATTAGCTAAAGCTCTCAAATACCACGTACATGGAATGGAGTTTTTCATCAGGCCGCGCCATTTCAGCGGAGCTGATAAAATGCAGTAGATAAATGTACGGAGGCGCTTCAAGGACAACTGCTTTGTCACTGAATGCCTTCTTACTTAACTCTGTCAGAAGATGGGCTGTATCACCGCACATCCGCATACCCTGTTGCAAGCATATGTAAAAATTGGATTGTGCTTGAAAAACCACTACATTGTACAACACTATTCAGGGCGAGTGCATTTCACGAACAGAGGAAGGTATTTCGCAATTTGTCTAGGCGTGACAGAGATGGCCTAGCTTTCGAAATCGTCGTGGTCTAATCATTCGGAGTCGTACATAGTGAGCAGTGATGGTTTTCTCTAAAGCGTCCAAAGGCGTGGCAAGTACTGGTTCGTAGTAAACAACAAATTCAGCTCTAATGAAACTTTGTCGACAGTTCGATGGCATTATGGGCATCAAATTGGCAAGAAAACAATTACAACCAACAATGGTTAAAAATTATGCGCAGACGTTTTAGTTCGAACCGCAGAGGATAAACTACACGGCAATTTTATACTGATTGATGTTTGCGTTAGGCACCCAACAACAACTGCTGAACTTCAAAGAGAAATCACCTGAACAAAACGCGCTTGTGATCATCCTTTTTGGGTAGACAAGTAGTTTCGTTTATAACGATTGCGTCTCAAAGTTTAATTTGGTCTCATCTAGGATAACTTGGCTATTTATGCACCTTGTACACATTGAAAAACGGAAAACCTTCATCGCTCATGTAACTGCTGCTGTTTTTTGAAAACAATGCTTCTCTTCAGAGGTATTTTCGCTGATTAGGGCAATTACTGCCTGGAGTTTTCTACGGTAATCTCTTGAGTATTGGAACAATAATCCACTTCGTTATCTACTAGCTACCAATTGTACGGTAAGCGGTAAAACTCGGTATAGGTAGACGCATACAGGCTATAATGTATGTACGCCCATATACTAATTTTCTTTCTATATTTACAAGCTCGCTGCTCCCAATCCCCTAGTTATATTCTATAACTATATATATATAACTATAAAGCAGAAGTAAAATAACGTTGTGCCACCTACTACACGCAAGTTTTTATTTGTATAAACCGAGGCCACGGAAATAAATGTGCTTCTAACATTCTTCACCAGCCTCTTTTTGCCTTCCTAAGCTTGGTTGTCTGCACTACCACCTGCTGCAAACACAGCAGCCCCAATCATTATCGGCTTGTTCGGCCTGCCTTCAATCTTCCGTGTCGCCCTGAGCGTTTGCTTGCTGGCCTGCACGTCTCCTGGCGGACAGCCCGCTGGAGTATAGTGCGTCAGGTAACAAAACCACAACGAACTGCTCTGAGAATAGCGTCCGTGCAACTTTTACCTAGAAGTAATAGAAACAACGCGTCTTGCAAGCGAAAAACGGGTCGCAGAAAGGAAGCGCCGAGTGAGAGGTGTGGCCGTACACTGAGGAAGAGAATAGGTGAGGGAGAGGATAGGACGGCTGGAATAGGATTTTTTTGCTGCTGCTTTACTCGCTTTATCTACTTCTTCATCTCGCTCTAGTTGTCGCTTTGGTGGGCTGCACACCTGCCGCAGCCAGTCCTTCGACTAGGCGATCCCTAGATGCCTTGTTGGGTTTACTTCCCCTTTATCTTTTTGGCTTCGCTGCAATAGGAAGACGCCGGTCCTACCACTCCAGTGCAGTCGCTCGCTGTCCATCCCAGAGATTCGTAGTGACATCAGGAAAATAATCGTTTACACTTTTGCACATGTGCTCACAGACGGAACGTATTAAAAACTGGTGGTTATACGGACAGTAGGCCAATATATATAAAAAAAACACAGATCTTTGTTTTTTTCCCGGACTTCACCAAGTTTTGTCGGTGTTTCACCCACCGCACAATTAAATACTTAAGACGCTGCTGGCTGCGTTGCTACTGACACTTTCGAAACTCGAAAGCTATATGAGCCAAAAGATATTCCAAGGATTTATCCTTCATTTGCTGCCGGCCTTTGCCTACTTTTTCTTTCACCTTTTTTCCGCTCACCCTTATTTTCCTTCCTTGTTTCAAATTCTTTCATATTTCCTTGTCATATTTCCTCTCCTTTCTAATCTTCATTGCATTGCCAACACTGGGCTACCTTCATTTCCGACATAAACCTGCAGCGTATACGGCGCCCCTTTCACCCCAAGTCGAATGCAGTCGCCAAAGTGAGAGACAGAAAGAAAAAAACGGAACAGAGTGTAAGAAAACCCCTCCACAATAATGGCGTCTTCCTGTGCCTAGTTTTAGCATGAGCTAAACTCGAGAGGAAAATCTCTCGTGGCTTTTTTTCGGTTGGCTTTTTCTTTTTTTTTATCGGTGTCTCTGTTCGTCATTTTTAGCTGTCTGAGTGTGTATCCTTCTGGGTTTATTTTGCGTTCCGCTTTATGAGTGAGCGCGGGGCTTGCATGGCTGTAATGGACGTGTAAGGCCGACTGGACACGATAGGTGCAGCATGGTAATGGTCCTTTATAGCATTAGTACTGTCGCTGCTATTTCTGTTGCCTGTTGTTATCGTGCAAATGGTAATTTGGCTGGTAACAATTTCGTCTGTTCTGATGTGATTGTCTCCTGCTGTGTAAAAGTGGTAACGCCTATCTATATGTATGCATAAAAAACTTGATTGGGTGCGAATGTAGTAGCCGCCGACTGGCAACGTCGGCATGTATTCCTTTTGTAAATGGGTAGCCAGGTAGCGATGCAGACAGCAGCAGCGACGTCTATGTACAGTAAATAGGTTTTTAGTGAAGACGATTAAACCGACATAGAGTAAACCAAAATATTTGAACTCAAATCTCAGTGAGTAGCCAGGGTAAAAGAAGGAAATGCAGTAATAGCTGGACGTATCAGGGAAAATGGGAAAACTGGTATCATTGATCTTGCCATCCACCGTCAACCTGCTGTTGCAATTAATGGTTAGTTCGGCTGTTGAATAGTACATCTTTCACACATTTACTACAAGGTCTCGTTTCTTTCATTACGGTTGCCGTACAGTCTCTATACATATGAGCAAGCCGTCCTTGCCTTGCGTCGTCCACTCGTAAGCCCTTCGGCAGCGCGAGAATAATGACAGTAGAAGCTTTGTCTATCACTGTCGTACTCAATCTTTATTCTATGCTTGCATTTTATACACGATTTCTACTGTCCCTTTCTCTTTCTACGTCTTCTTGCCTCTTCCCCGGAATGTACCCTCTTTTGTTGAAAACAAACATTCCCTCTCCCTTTTTGAATTTGGCGCGCACAATGAAATTCTAGTGCGGCAAGACGGCCTGGCCAGCCTTGCACGTCGTAGCTACGGGACATAGCTGATAGCGGCACAGCGAGCATCGATATATCGCTTCTCCATATTGCGTCTTTACTGTGCTCATTCGAAGCTAGACTAAACTGAATTGAATCGGTTGATTGAGATTGTCTGCGGCTTACCCTCGACGGGGAGTAAGGGTTATGCGGAAGGGGGGGAGAGGTGGCTGGGTGACTAGCTGGCAAGCCACCTTCTTTTTCTAACGGACGTTGCAGTGTGGTGTATTGCCTAAAGAGACGGAGAGTACACTGTTTCAGGCACTCCCGAAGGCCAGGCTGGGGTGGCCTGTGCGCAAAAGACCAACCGGCCGGCCGGCCGCTTCTATCAGGCTAAGGTGCCGATCCCTTCCTCCTTTCGGGCGAGGAGTGCATGGTGCCGCTGCTGCTCCTGGGCCTTGGCAGCAGCAGCAGCAGCAGAAATTGCAGCCGCAGTTGCCGCTAGTCCTGCTGTTTGCCACTACCATCCGTCCGAGTCGAGACGTCTTTACAGAAAACGAGCGCTGCCGAGAAGACACAGAGTGTAGCTACTTCCAGTGTCGTCGCTACCCCCTGCAGTCTAAAGAGCCTTTGAGAACGCTTCAACAAGTGTCCACCCCACAAAAAAGTGCTGCTACGGCAACTTCGGTTGTTCACTGATTCGTAGGGTTTATCGTGCAATTGGGTGGCGGCGACGGATGAAACGAATCATTAAAGGTAGAAAGCGTAGAAGAAGAACGAAAATAAAGGCTGAATAAAGAAACGAGTCAGTCAGGCGGCGTTTTAGCAAGAGCTTTGCGATTTACTGCTGAAATTGCATCAATAACCTCTGAAGATCAAAGAAAGAGTGGGCGCTTGATAAGACTCAAGGAGTCGAGTGGCGCGTATCGTTGTTAAGAGGTCGTATGTGCAATTCACGTTAGATACTGTTCGTATTATGCTAGATAAACATTTTCACACCGTCGGAGAGAAGGAATCGCTGTGTGATCGTCGCCGTATCTATAGAAAAAAAAGTTAAACGAAGTGGTGCTTTTTAGTCGCCATTCACACGCCAAAGTAGATTCCGTCATTTTGCAGTCTTGAGGTCGGGTGCATTAGCCGAGCGTAAACAGTTGGCAACATTGTCGCAAGTATTTAAATTGATTCATTTAAACTCTGACAATAATGCGACACTTCGTGATATCAGTTCTATTGATATTTACTGGCGCAGTATCTCAAGATCACTTTAGTCTCTGGGTTCTCTATACATCGTAAGTATATATTGAAGTGGGCACTGTCACCAATCAATTCGTCGGCCGTTAATGAATCAGCGAGCCATTAACAGTTGTACTTCGCACAAAAACACCAAGGCCAAAGCTGCTTGGCTCGCGATATGCTTCTACATACACAAAAAACAGTCATAGGCAAGTACGTTATTACAAATTATCCCATGCACCGCATGTTTCCATTTGACCAGACGTACAGAGGCAGAGTTTAGGAGGGAATCACCACGTACGAGTGTTCGTTAGCGATTGCCATAAGGGCCTGAATCGGACAGGTCTGGCCATCTGTTGATATGGAAAACGAGTAACTTCCATGGCAGCAATAGTAAGTGATACTGCTTTTAATAACAGAAACTCGTTACCAAGTGGGAACGTGTCACATTTGCATTTCCACTTTGAAACATACCAACAAGTTGGAACAAGCCGAGATAGTGCTGTCTAGAAATAGTAAGCGTCTTTTGATGAAAAAATAAAGTCCAGTTCCGATCGGTAGATAAATAACGGTGGTTGTTGGTACATGCGTCCTTGTGTTAGATCGAGTAAATGGTGACGTTTTGGAGTCTCGATTCAAAAGCGCACTTCTATTAATCGGTGCTTTATTGAAACAAGTCCTGGCGTTTCCCACTTCGAATGCACTGTGAGATCAGGAAAGCCGGCAATCACATTGGTCAGCCATGCAATACAGAAAGTTTCGTGTTTAATTGGTCGTGCATTTTATAACGCGGAGACCCGTCCTGCGGCGTCGAGAACGATCGCGTCGAAGTGAAACCAAAAACGCCCCGTCATCACCCGCTGACGTGAAATTTGCTTTGAGGCAAACGTTATAGGCCGATCCAGCCAGCTGTGCTTAAAGCGCGACATCAGCTTAGCGATTGGTTTTCTCCAGACGTGTAATCAGTGTACAGATTCGTGCTGTTGCTTTTCGGTAAAAATTTTCAGAGAGCGAAAGGGAAGGGCAGCATTGTATCATCCGGCACTTATCTGAAGTGCAGCGTCGGCGTAGCGCCAATTACGATGAAGACGACGACGGCGGCGGCATCAACCACAAATGCGTGCTACCAGTAACGGCAGTCGTAACCTCAGTCGTTATCGAGGTGCGCCGGTGGATACGTAGTAAACATCAAAGTATTGTTTACAGAATTAGTAGCGACAGTAAAAAATCAAGCCATTCATATTGTCTATGCAAAAGGAAGTTGGCACCGTTTAAGGATACATATACCGTAATCTATGTATGACTAAAGATTCTACTAAACTCCTCGTTTGATATTAATGTGTGATTAATTGGATCAAGCGGAAGTTTTTATCAGCGCTCATTGAAGCCGGATTGTTATTTTGGATCGTGCGCGCTTTAACGTCGCCTGAGGTTACACGCCAGCGGCGGTAGCTGAGTAATTGATCCTGTGTAGTGGGGACTCCGCGCGCGTTATCTCGAAAAATTGTCAACAGTACTTGTGATAATCACGAATTTTGGCGGCCAACAAACATCACACAACTGTAACAACGCCAACATCATCAACAGGTCTTCACGTAAGCACGGATCCGACATAGGAACGCCATCGCGATGAAACGCTTTGGACATCACAACGATAACCATCACAATAATCATCACGACAATGCCATCCATAAGGTACTCTATTGAACAATTTAAATACACCTCCCATATCTATATCTATTCCGGAGACACCTGTCCGAAACACACAAACCTCGATGGTATTATTTTCAACTTGATCAGGGGGAACGGGTACTTAATAGTAGTATAATCAACCTACTAACTTATAATATAATTAATAGGAAAGGGATCTGTAGCATATATTGGCATTGATATCACCTAGCATTTATAGCAGCTTCGAGTTTTGAGCTGTATGAGCTATACCGTAGGTGAGAAAGACAGATGGTTTATCAAATAATCTGGTTCATTTGTACTTAGCAATGCAGACGCGTTGGATTCTTTACTGGCTCTATTAACACTGGAGATGAGTAGGGCGTTTTTCAAGGGCACAAGTGGAGAATATCATTCGTACTATGTATGCTTGGGTTATAAAGTCGAGCTACTGGGTTCTGTAACATTTAGTTGATTCTTACAAGGTCTGAAATGCTGCCCTCAGTCTATATAAATGAGCTACACGTAGCCTTTTTATCCATGTCTTATTACTATATTATCCATATATCGTATCCATATATAGTATAGTATGCACTTCGGGGCGTCGTGGGCAACTTTGGTTCCGTAAGTGCCGATTGCTGCAAGTGCTACAAATATTTCCGCGGTTTTAATGGAGCTTAAAAACTATAGAGGATATTTGGGCTGATGTGTGTGCTTCAGTGCTCCGCCCTGAAACGCACTGATAAACGATGCAGGAAACGAGCAGCGGGTATACTAATGCGCTCCGATATTGGTCGACCTCAATTAGGCCTAGTTAGAGCCTTAAATCCTCCGAACAAGTTCGGCTGTATATTGGAGACATTTCCACTCACATTAGCTAACCCACACCTCTTTAACAACTGGACCCACGATGGCACGCTACTTCTGGGTCAAATTTCGTAGAATTTAATTGCTGTAATACTGTGTAGCAAATGTTGTTTATATAATACAAATAGAATTGTTTCAAAGATTAATAAGCCGCTCTCTGGAGTTAAGCGGAAAAGTCAGGCGGACAATAGGAAGTCAGCCGTGTTCACGGCGGAAGCTTCCGAACAGTGAAGTCACTACTTCTACTTCTACCCTCATCACGACGTCACCGAATGTGGGGCCCAGCAAGGCACTGACCTCGTCTGTAACTATTTAAAGCAGTTCAGCATAGTATATCTGGACGTTTTAACACTAAGAAACTTAGCCGTCTCAGTTGAGTCGGCATTCAACAAGATCAGACACTTTGCCCTTTCTTAAGGAACGAAATTACTTTTTTCGAAAACGATTTTTATTATTTTATAGATATTAGAAAGCAGCTTCTAGTTTTCAGAGAGAAACAAATTACACACACACACACACACACACACACACACACACACACACACACACGCACACACATTCATACACACGAACACACGCACACCATCGGGCGGCATTTAGTACAGTCGGAAACGATTCGGAAGTTAGGGATAGGCATACAAACTAGAAAACTTCGAGGAAGAGCACGATGCGTAGGATGCCATCGTGCATTTGCCTCGTTGTACTCTGAGTTCTGGATTGGTTTCGGTAAAAGCATATTGATCTATGGTCTGGTGAAAGGCCTTGTTAGTATTTAACAGTCAGACATAATATTGTCTTGAAGAAAGGTGTTATCAGAAGAACATATATAGATATATATTTCTAAATAAATTTTTATTTTTATAGATTTAACCTTTTTTATTTAAAAAAAAAAGGAAGGATTAATAATCTTCCTAGTTAATTCAAAATCCAATCGCGTTATTTCATTCTAACTATAGGTATAGCGTCGCCAATTACTGGGTTTAAGGTGACGCAAATTTTTTATCATGCCATCATACGACATTTGCCTATTTAGAGGGCCTGTAGCAGTCTGTGATAAATAAACTCATACTTAGATGGTAAAGCTCAAATCAGCTTTACCATCTAGATATGAGTGAACGCGACCGTTTACCGAAACGACAATTCAACCGGATACAATCTCCACCACTAGCAAAGGATTGGTATTCAATGAGCCCGTTATCCGGCTCATGAACGCCCTGAGGTGAAACGCACGCAAAATCGGACCGCATTACGGTTCAACATTGTTTATATGAATTATCGCAAAAAATAAAAGCTCACTCGGACTGCAGTGCAAGACAGCCTGAGAACATTTAGCGGAACTAATGTTCTGTTGGACATTGCATCTAGTGAAATGCAGGACATCTTTGACGATACTTCTTCCACTGGTAGATAGGACAATAAATCGATACTGAAGTATGGAGGATTACGGCGATTTTTAAAATGCTATGCTAGGCACGTGTGCAAACTGAACAAAAGTGCGAACCGCGCCGCTAGATAATTGAAGCTTAATTATGATCTATCTGCGATCGTAGTAAAAGCTGTATGACAAAGCTATACCTAGTGCTTAGCGTATATCTTAGTGCTGATGACTCAATCGCCACGTCTAATGTTTCCTTGCAGTACACGATTGACAAATAAATATCTATTTATTTGTTGTCTATTTATTTATTTACATTGCTACCCGTTGGTTAAATTATCAAGGCAACGATCGATTGTTGGTAAGTGACAGGTACAGTGTCGTTCTATTTACTGTTCGATTTGCTATCGTTCATCCTACGATGGGTCCTGTTAAGATGCAGTCTGCATATTTATTCGAAAGTTTTTGAAGCTATACCGGCCGCTGCCCTTATCGTCGTCTCCTTTCATAACAATACAAACGCTGTTTTTACGCTACTCATCATAACATTTTAGTGATGATACAACATTAATGAGGGTCTGCCATAATTTCCTATTTTTCTCCCAATTCGGTCTTGTTACGCCTGCCTGCACCCCTTTATTTGTTTGGCTCATTGTCGTTGCTACTGCATATGAAACGGATTCCAGCTGTATGTATTATCCACATTGCGTGTGAAGTGGCCAGGACGTATGAGCTTCCAGGCAGCGTACATGGTAAATGCATAACAATGACGCATTTTTTCCGCAGGGCGTACATAGCTGTAGTGCCGACGCGCAAATGAATCACGAGTCTGCCTCCGTTATCCCTTACTTTTGTCTTTCCCCCGATTTATCCCCTTCTACTGTTAACAAAGAACGGATTTACACGTACTGGCTAATGTTGATTCTGCAGGCGCTAGTGCCCCAGCACTCGGGTCTAAATAGCAGCCTTAATGCAGATGTACGTCCTAGCTTCATTTTTGTGCCGAAGCCCGGGAGCAAGTAAAGCAGCAGGCGGTAGAGTTGCAGGGATGTGCTACAGCCGTATGTGTGTTTACGTTTATGCATCACGTGAATTTTTATGTTGCTATGCCCATACATCACTGCTAGCAGGGATGACACACTATTACGCTTGAATATGCTCCTAGCAGTAAGGCTTATTCCAAAGCTGCTCGCTATTGACCAGTAACAGCTAAAGCGGCAGACGCGCCAGCTGACCCGGGTTGGTGACCTGTTGGTGAAGCGGGTTGACGTTTCTTCTGCAAGAAGAGCTGACACCGTTGCCACTATAGTTGTGGCTTTCATGCTTCCTAGAGCCCCGACATTCTCCATTTAGTCACCAGTGTCACCAGCCAAGAAAGGAGGAAGGGTCGCTGTGAAGGAAAATCTCGAGAGAGGGGAGGGGGGACTGGACTGTGGAGCTGGAAAGTGAAAGACAAATCAATACCAAGGTGGAAAGAGCACTGGCAGAGACATGCGACAAGAAACGCTAGCAGAAGCCATGGTGCATCTTCGTGGAGCAAGTCGAGCGGCCGAACAACGACAGGGTAGTTTCACAGGAGAGGAAAAATAACGCTGGGGCAGGTGGTAAAGATTATGGGAACTAAAATGTTTCCACAGGGCTTTCGAGTGGCAAGGTAAAACCAAGGAATCCTCTACGGGAAGAAGACGTTTCAATATGCAGTCTGACTACGGCTTGTCGTATTTAAGTGCGCGGCCGAAGTTATACCGACGCGGCGATACGAGTCGACGACAGCGAATCCGCTTTATTCATTGGGGAAATTAGCTTATTAATCGTTAATCTGATCAAAAAAACTAACAAAGGCCTGGCTACACTAGATATTAATAATATAAGTATAAGACTTGTAAAGAAATAAGCGACTTTGAGGAGTTGTTTGATAATTTCGGTAAAATAAAATCTAGATCATCTTGAAGGGAATACATAAAAAAACGCTACGAAAATTTCGCCCGACCTAAGGTCTACAACAGTCGTATTCACTTTTTGGTATTTACAAGAAAGTAGAAATTTTGCCCAATTTTCATAATAGTGAGTAGACATGGAAAAATTCTTTTGAAAACCGTAACGTTTGTCTATAAATGAAACTATTTTTCCGGTACTACGACAAGTGACTTAATCATCTGGTAGATAAGTGAGGCCTGCTAGTTTTAGGGGCATTTAGATCGTGACTCGAACCGCGGCATAGATATATGATTCGTTTTGTACTGGGAGCCAGCCGTCTGATAAAACGCCTAACGGCGATACCGGGCGTAAAGCTCGAAACATAGAGGATGAGTGAGACGACATTTCGTGCGTCAGTAAGGCTTCCGCATTCGTTACGTTTCTTCGAAGTAAAGTTTCTTTCTGAAGCGCCTTCGGTACCGTACCACCTTCGACTAAGTAGGCGGATTTGCAGGTGATCTTGTCGAGATCTTGTCGTTTCTAAGGCAGACGCAAGAAGCAAAGTTCTTTGTGATATGTAGGTTTTCACTACGTTCAAAATAGTTGAGCTCTAACAGAAAATGAAAAAGAGGCATTTGATTTGTTTTTATAATTCTGTTCTAAATAGTTTGATGATCATATGTATGTTTAGAGGTATTACATATCCATCTAGCAAATTCACTCTGTATTTCTAGTAGACTGCACAAAAACATTCATATTGAGTATTCTTCAAGAACCGCGCTAAGTGGAGCGCTTTGGAATTACGGATTTTTTTATCCTTAAATGGAGCGGCTCCGGTGGCAAGTGATACTAATGCTGTTCAGACCAA